AGAGACTAAAGATGATCAATGTATCATCTTTAGATGAGAGCTAAGGGACATCAGGTGCACATGTGGGCACTCCGATTTACCTTCTTAAGTTTCCTCATTATGAACCCATGCACAGAGGACAATAATCCAAAAGTGCAGAAGCACATATATATAGATAGTGACCTACATCCTTCCCCAGAGGTGACCACCTTACCTTTGATGTTACATTAATCTTTTGTACTATGAGAACTCTTCTGTGTATTAAGTGGCCCACAGATTAAGTGACAGAGATCCTCTGGGAGAAGGTTCTGAATGATTAGCTAGAACAAGATACCATTTTCTCCTAACCTGAGCATCCATCCTCCTCAGGGCACAGACTGCAATCTGTAAACAAGACAAAATTTCTCCATTTTCTAACATTATGAAATTGGGTACATATTCAATAGTTGATGATTCTCTGAAACATGCTGGGATGCTTTCTCGTTCAAAAAATAATACCCAAACTGTTTGATAACTTGTTTATCAGAGCACATCCTTCATGCTCCACTTGATCCTAGTATATGTCACATTTTTGATGTTAGCCAAAGAAGGGGTCCAAGCCCTTTTGAATTATGTAGCCATATTTCATTTATTTGTTTAGAGAAAATAATTCTTGGGGCCAATATATGCACCACAAGTACAAGTTCAGGTGATCATTCACTGCTACAATCCAGGCCAGGGACTCTTGGAGTGAGGAGGAAGGGAGAGTGTAGGACGCTCAGGGAAGGAAGGAAGGAGGGCTAATGTGTGTGGGGGTGAGGGGAGGGGAACTTTAAAAAAATTACCTGTGTCTCCTTTCCCTAGACTGAGGTCGGCAGACTCAATCTAGCTTTCAGGGTGCAGTGCAGCACAGCTCGGCCCAGCCATTCATGTTTCAACTGTGGCTGCTTTTGCAATGGCAGAGTAGGCAGGAGAGATTGCATGATTCTCAGTATAAAAACTCTCAACAACTTTGCCCTTAGTAGAAACACTTTGCCAACCCTGCCTTACATACTTCTTGAGAATCATTACCCAGTGAGCCATCATTACTAAATAATGTATCCCATTTCTTAGAGATGGTCTTCTGGGCTATAATGGCTAGGTTTAGCTTTGGATGTCAATAATAAAGATCTGGAAAATAGTGACTTAAACAAGCTCTCTTTTCTTTCACCTAAAAGTCTAGTGCTGATCTGACACTCCCTAGAGTCAGGGATCCAGACAACTTCTACACCACTGCTCTTCTCTTTACAGTTTCCATTGCCAAGGTCACACCATTGTCCAAAAGGATAATGCCAAAATATCAGCCATTACATTTGTACTCAGGCAGCAAGAAAGAAAAAGAACAGCCTCAACTCAACTTTTAAGGAACTACTAGAAATACCATTAGATACTTGCACTTATAATCATTGGCATAATTTAGCTATCCTGTTATAGTGGAGTCTCAAAAGTGTAGTTTTAGTTGAGTAGAAAGTTGCTCAGCTAAAAAAATCAGGATTATGTTATTTTAAAAAAGGAGAGTAACAGAATATATTAAGGGATAATAAGCCATGTCTCCCATTGGAACCATATTCCAGTCACCAAACCCCTTATTAATGGTGTATGCCCTGGGCAGGATAATCATTTTGTGCATAGCTCCAAAATGATAGTCTTTAAATATGTATATAATTATTATCCAAAAGATGGTGAGCCCAGTGCCAGTGAGAAGTGATTTTTGGTTGATTGCTTCCCAATTTGCACTCAGAAGAGCTGTCTCCTTCGAAGGATCTGGATAAATTCACCTTTTAGTATCGAGTATGGAGCTGTGCACGCAGGCCTGTATGAATAGAGTATTTCTAATATAGTCCATTGAAATTCTATTTTTTAAATAGACTCTGCCTGTTTGGTGTTATCAGGGTCCATATGCCCACTAATACCTATTCTCTAATTCCCATACCATATGGCATTTGCCTCCATCATGACAATCAACTACAGATCAGAAAAACTTGGGATTACCTCTCCCCAAAGCCATATCTAACCCACACCCAGCACAAGAGAATTTTCTCTCAACTTCCTAGATTTTCAACATCTCTATGCAACCTAGTAGGTTCTGATATTTCCAATTAGAAAGGGCTGCTTGCCTCACTTTTGAAACAAAGGGTGTGAAGAGTCAGGGACAGAATTAAGGTCAGATCAGGGATCAAGAGACTATAAAGTCAAAACTAAGCATAAATTTTGATTCGGAACATTTTCTGAGTACTGACAAGAGTGGAAAAAATAGCATAAGTCACTTCTTTTGGCATATTGGTTACTACTTGGCAACTAATTTTTTTTTTTTTTTTGGTGGGACTGGGGTTTGAAATCAGGGCTTGAGCCACACCTCCAGTCCATTTGACACTGGTTATTTTGGAGATGGGGTCTTGCTAACTATTTGCCCAGGCTGGCCCCAAACGATGATCCTCCCAATCTCAGCCTCCATCTAGTTAGGATTATAGGCCTGAGCCATAAGTGCCAGGTGGGAATTAGTTTTGTTCCAATATTTTTGTCTTCACTACAAAAGTAAAAACCAGAATTTTAGTCTGGAAAGCCCTGGAAATCTCTCACATAATAATGTGAGATTAAATTGGCACTTTGTAGTGTCAGGGACTCAGGCTACCCATGCATTCTCTGTCAAGTTAGGAGACAGATGCCATATGCAAGTTCACAGTGTATTTACAGGCTTCCAAAAGCCATAGCAATTTAGTAGAAGATGAGTAGTGAAGAGGAGAAACCGAGAGTGGCACAACGCAGAAGACCCAACAAAATGCATTTTATTTTCAGAGCTGGGAGTTATGATGTAAAGCGCAAAGAAATTTTCTACCACTAAGTGTTATATTGGAATAAGCAAGGAAAAAGTGTATTTTTAACAAGTGTAGATTTGGGTGGGAAGCAGAAGATTCAAAGAGATAAGCCATATTTAAAGAAAGAATTGGCTTCCTATCAGTAAAGAATAAGAAATCCTAAGGTTGTAAAAGAAGCTAGTGAAAATGATGTCCTCAGTCCTTCCCTGCCAGGCAAACCTGTGCAAACAGCAGGTCCAGAAAGCCGAATGCATTCAAAGCATAATCACAAGGGTGCCAGTTATATATCAATTAAAAAAGAGTTAAGGAAAAAATGAGGACAATGGAAGAAAACTTACTAATAGAAAGTCATAGAGAAATACTGCCATTGGAGCACATGAAGTTTCTGGTTAAATTCTTTGCAATGAATTGTTGAAACTAAGTGAAACAATTTCTCTGTGAAGGAAGACCACAAAACAGAAATAAAACAAAAACGAGATAGCAAGAACTTAGGTGGAGCTGGAATGTGGGCTCAGAACTCAGAAAAGGAGGAGAAGTGAAGATGGAAAAAATGTGACGAAAAGAGAACAGTTAGTGTAAATAGTCAGAGGCAGAAAAGATAACAGGTAAGAATGCATCCAAAGGAAGTGGAGATTTAAAACATCAGAGAGAAAACAATAGGTATAGAAGCAGATATTGAACATTACTGGGATCCCTGAAGAGTGAATGAAATGGGTCAGAACAAATCCTTAAAGATACAATTCCTAAAACAAAAGCAGAGTCAAATATGATTTGTGACAGTCAGGGAGAAGAGGTCAACACTGAAAAGTATCCTTGTAAAGTTATTCAACTTTTAAGACAAAGAAGGAATCCTTTAGGGCAAAAAGCAAAAAGATGAAGACTGGCCTCAGATTTCTTTACATCAAGTTACATTCAAGAAGACAACACAGCAACAATTATAAGATGCTTAAAAAAAGAAAGGGATAGCCAAGGATTTTATGTCCAACAAACTATCATTCATTCAGTACAGACAGTTCTGAACATGCATGGAGTCAGGGGATATTGTTTCCACAAGTGCTTGAGCAAACTTGCTATCAGATAACTGAGAAAACAAAGGCAAAGGAACAGCAGTGAATACTGAAAATCTTCATCTAAGGCAGGATTTGTTTAAAAAAAAAAAAGCGAAGAAAGAAAGAAGTGAAATGTGAAGGTCTATGCCCTGATAATGTGCCTGGCATACCTGTGAAAATCAGGAGGGAGGGGGCAGAGTGAAGATAAGAGTCCAACCAGAGTTGGTGACTGCCCCTCCTCCAACAGGTGGAGGTGAAAGGGGGTCATTTAAAGGAGACTAGTCAGATCACACCACTCCTCTCTCCCACTCCTACCTTCTTGTGCTTCCAACTGCAACTGGAGTAAAATCCCATCTCAGACCTGGCATGTTCTGGCCCTGCCTAACCCCACAGACATGTCTCCACCCAACAGCATCTCTTTTCATCTACTTCCCCTTAGTCTTTTGAGCTGCATGTTCTTTACTGTTTTCCATATTTTGCATGTGCCATTGTCCCCCCACCCGAGGATTCACATCTGCCTTCGAGAATATTCCTTCCCCGTTCCTTCATTACTCAATCATACTTTTACACTGAGCATCAATGTCTCCAAGAGGCCTGCCCTGACTCCCCAACTGAAATCAGTTCTATAATTATGTTCAATGCATTTCCCTTCACTATGCTCCACATCTGTGGAATTACTTATTTAATATATGCTCCTCCTATTAAGACTTTAAACTCCAAGAAGGTATAGCTAAGTCTGGAACACACTTAAGTACTAGGATCAAAGAGAGGCATTATTGCATGAGAAGCTACTAACAAAACAACTTTTCTTCCACAAATCACTCTTTCTCTGCATCATCTCTTCTGTTATCTGCAATGTGATATGGTAAGAAATCACTTCCAAAAGCAATACTAAAAAATTGGAAGATTTTTAAGACATTGTTTCATATAATTACTTTACTAGGGTAGGAAAGAATAAAAATGCATTTTAGAAAGATTTTCAGAGAGGACTAATGAGAGTTTTCTCATAAACTATATGCTCCCTTTGAATTCTGAAGGCATTTTTGCCTCCAGTGCATTGGGCTTCTATTGTATGTTTCCATATACCATTTGTCACACAGACACAGTAAAGGATAAAATCAGGAAGCATTTCACTTACTTTGGATGTTCAAATTTGTCTATAAGATCAACCTTTTCCACCAGGTCTCCTCCAATTGTTCGGACTAAATCATAGAAGTCGTTCTCTGCGTAATTCTCAGAGGGCAACCAGAATGAAATATCATTTATCAAAGCAGGGTATCTGCTAAGAGGCTAACAAAACAAGAGAAGAAAAGATAGATGGATTTGTTAGGTGGATGAGAATAAATTTTTCATGGAAAGTTTCAGTTGGCTAATTAGAAAATGTGATAAAACATTATTTAAACATTTGAATTTTGGGGAACAAAATGAACTTAAGACATAAACCAATATTCAAAATTAGCAAATTCCATTATGAATGCTACAGATTCTTACCACATATTTGTAACATTATCATGTTATATGTATATTGCCATTATTGTTCAATTTAGTATAAAGCAATCTGAATATATCATATTTCACATTTTCCCATTTGAATACTAGAGGAGAAAAGTTCAAATTTAATTAACATGCAATTCATTAACTTCTTATGATACTTTCAGGAAGCCATTTTAATAGAGAAATTAGTAAGAGATTGTCAAAACTGATATTCAATTACTAATGTCATTATTTGTTAGCATTTCTAATTATTAAAATAAGGAACTAGGTTGATAAGTAGTCATTTGGGGTTATTTTTCAAATTACGCCTTAAGAATATGATAAATGCAACATAGCCATTTCCCCAATTTAATTCCTCTTTTCCTCATTTACTGCTCAGAAGTTCATAACTATATTGGACATACATTCATACATTAAAATTAGATATGCTTAGAAGTTACTGTGCTTGTATATACCCCTATGTATATGTCTATCACAAATACACACACATACACAGGTCATGAACTCTAATATAGTTATTGCCACAATGAAAAATGCTCCATTATGTGACTATGAAATCCTAAGGGAATATCTGCTAAAGCTGTACATTTTCTAGAAAGACAAATATATACATTGACTTATGCTAAATATGGTCACTATAAATCCTTTGCTGAACCACTGATCACAAAAAGTATAAAACTTTTAAGGAACAAAGTCTCTTAAGAACTAAAATACACGTAAATGATTATTGAACTTGAAATACCAATAAAGTTGTCAATCTGTTTAGAACACACATTTGAAACAAGTGCAACAAAGCTACCATCTAGGGGTTCTTAACAATAATACCTCAGCTCCTGAGAAGCATCGTATGTTTCTCTGCTAGAGCAAAATCAGGAAACTGATTTTGTGATATATAACCTGGGTTAATGAACCACAGAAAATGACACTTTGGTGACTTATACACAGGGCTTTTCCTTTTGATGGTACATTTGTGTCCCTTAAGGAATATGGGCATTTAGGGAGATTAGTAAGAGATGGAGATTACCAAGAATTAATATGAAATTTTCTCTTCCATGAATCTAGGCTGAGGCCCCACACTTTCTAAGCATAGATGGGAGGCAAGATCACAGAGAAAAGGGAGATGATATCCCAATGGAGCTTCTGTGTCAGTAATTCACGGACAACAATCAATATGATAATAAGGCAGCCAGCCATAATACATCCTCCCCCGCCAACAGTTTAAAATTATACCATGGTACATGGCTTCAAAAAACAGAGTTAAAAAGAAAAACTCACACAATTTATTATATTGCAATCTAGTCTAAACTAGCAAATGTAACAAGTCTACAGTAATGGTTAAACTAAAGGATACATTAACTCCACTGATTGGTGTCACACGTGACATACCTACTAGTTGCCCTTGCTCTTTTTAGCAGGAGAAATCCAGTTTTGTTTTGAGAACTAGAAAATAATTACAGACACATGATTACTGAGATGTAGGCTGACAGGAGTTTATCCACTGGTGGAGTCTGGGGATGTAGCTCAGGCACAAAGTCCTGGGTTCAATTCCTAGCACAACACACATACACACAAAAGATTAAACCACTGGTGGTGTTAAAAGCCATCCAGTGGCTTCCTATTGCTCCTAGGACTGATTCCGGAAAGTTTGAAACTGATTCCTAAAAGTTTCTAGTTCTTTCCAAGGTTCTCCAGGCTCAGGCGAGCTTGGTTTACTCTGTTTCTTGAACACTTTAGGGTACTTCCTCCATATGCCATTTCTTGCCCTTCCTACCCCCCTTCTGGGCCTTAGCCACAACATTCACTTCGTGTCCTCCAAGATGATATCAGCACCTTCTTATGGCACCTGGTCCTTCTCTTGTGTAGGACTTTTCATCAGTATCATATTCATGTATTTACTTCATGTCTCTTCATGTTTTTGAGGGCAGGGCACATATCACCTCTTCCGTTCACCTGAATCTCCATTGTCTATACAGTCCCTATTACACTGTAGGTGTTCAACAGAGCACATCATAGCATAGCTTTGTGTGAGTATTGGCTACAGAGTCCATCAACTTACCTGTTCTTCCTTTTCTAGCAATGACAGCTAATGGACATACCAGGCAAATAAGGCATGGAGACACCTCTACCCTGAGCTTAACAACCATGCAAAATGACACTGGCCTGAATGGGCAAACTGGTCTGGCAGAGACCTGATAATCCACAATCATAGAGTCATAACCTTAAATGCTATCTAATATTATTTGTGTTTTGACCTAGACAGAGATGTGCCTATTTAATTAGTTTTATTGGATAAACACGTATTGATTAGTTCTTTTGTTTGCCCTTTTTTATATTTGTTTGTTTTTAAAGAATTGAAAAGGGAATCAAACTATAGATACAAAAGAGACTTTCAAAGTCACAGTGAATATTATGAACCTTTCATAACAATACATTTGAAAACTTGATTAAGTGAATAATTTTTGCTTAAAACAGAAAACCAATGACTGCACCGAATGGAATGACTTTTCAACTCTCTTTACAATAACAATTTTATACAGAAGATGCACAGTATAACTTTATCAGATGTTTAAGGTAAGTGTTGTTCTTCTTGTGTTTAAAATGTTTCGTGAAACCACAAAGGAGTGAAACTCAACTAATTTTATGAGGTTCAAAGACAAAACTAGACAAGCATGGTACTATTTTTAAAATATTGTAGACCAATTTCATATTATAACCTACATGAAAAACCCTAAGTGTAACTTTAGCAAACACAACTCAATAGCATACTAATATAATATTACGAAATGGCCAAGTAGGGTCTATTCTAGAATTATTATAGTGGTTTCAAACCCAAAATAATGTACTAATTAATATGAAAACCCTGCCATTAGTTCATAGGGAAGAAGAATTTGGTAAATATATCATTTGTTCAGTATGAGGGAAAAAATCTTGGCACACTAGAAATAGAAGGCAACTTCCTTAACTGACAGTATACATCCAATTTAACTCTAAAATTTTGGGGGCATTCCAGTCAAAGTCAAGAGTAAGCCAGGTGTGGATGTGCACACATTCTTACTTTTCATTTAACTGGTTTTCTTGTTTTTTCCTCTAGCTTATTTATGTGAAAGATTAACTCATGTTTGGAGACTTTCTTGCTTTTAAGTAAAAGCATGCAAGGATGTAGAAGTTCCTCTATATATGTCTTTAGAGATATATCCTAAATCTTTAAAATGCAGTATTTCATTGTTCAGTTTAAAATATTTGTATCTTCTAGCACTATTTTTTCTTTATTTGGTGAGCAGAGTATTCTTAATTTTGATACATAATTGAATAAATTTAGAAACATCAACTGTATACTATTATATTTCATTTTGGTCTGGCAAGAGATGGAGCACTGAGGCAGATACTGGTCTTTGCTCACCTGAAACCTGCTTTTCCTAGCTAGAGAACTCCAGATTTGGTTTAGGAAGTGGGTGGATCCCTTGATTACAGGAACAGACTCCTTAGTTCTAGGCAATAAAAGTCATGACTGGTTAATCAAAACTGGTATAACAGTCATGGATTAAAATATCACTTTGTAGCCTGTAAGTGTACACAATTATTGTGTATCAAATAATTTTTTTGGTGGAACTGGAATTTGAACTCAGGGTTTTGTGCTCGCAAAGCAGGCACTCTACTGCTTGAGCCACACCTCCAGTCCTAATTAATTTTTTTTGACAAATTTAAAAACTAGTATAAAAGAGTCATGGTCATTTATGCCTCATAGCCAGTCATGGTGTAGGCATGATCTCTCTTTTCATCAGTGAGATGGAACAGTATCTGTACTAGGAGCAAAAAGTCAGACTTTAGTGAGGATAGCTTTTTTGTCTTGACCATTTCTTCCCATTTGAGATGCTCAAACAAGGTCATGGTCACTGCAGCAGGTTAATATTTTTAGTAGGCTAGTTTAATCTATTTACTTTCACTTTGATGTGTTTCATACACATAATCTTTATTTGTGTTTTCTGATAATCAGTCTTTTTCTTTCCGCAAATTTTCTCCTTCTTCATTCTATCTAATCAGATTTTACACTACTCTGGTGTAAGAAGCTGTAAATTGCATTTCTATTTTACATGTATGCATACATGTATGTGTGAATATATATGTGTATATATATGTAAAAATATGTATCTATATATGTAAATTATTATAAAGCATAAAATTAATGTCTCAGTTCACCTACTAAATAAACAAGAAACTTCTTTTTCTTCAACAACCCCTCTTTCCAACTATCTTCCTTATTATTGTTGTCTAGAGTTCTATCTTAAAATAAGCACATATGAAGTTGTTTAAGTCAACAGTTAATTTTAAATTACAGTATTTTAAATTATAAGCCAGGTGCTAGGGTTATGCCTATAATCCTAGCTACTTGGAAAGCTGAGATCAGGAGGATCAAGGTTCAAGGCCAGCCCATACAAATAGTTCATGAGACCCCCATCTCCAAAATAACCAGAGCAAAATGGACTGGAAGTGTGGCTCGAGCTGATGCTCTGCTTCATGAAGCCCTGAGTTCGAACTCCATATCGTCAAAACAATTTTTTTTTTAAAGTTCTATTCTACATTTGATTCTTGCGTTCTGTGTCTTTGCTGACAGGCAATTCCCCCATGGGATCTTCATACAACTTATAATGGTTTGTACAGCAAACAGCCTTGGAACACATAGGTAGTATTTTGTGGGGTAGGCAGATTCATTCATTTCCTCAACAGAATGACAAAGTTAATATCTTCTGCAGAAACTAAGACCAGGAAATTTTACTAATAGCTCTTCAAATGATTGG